ATTTGTTGATGAACATTTTGTGATGCTCAGCTGCTGCGTGGTTTTAGTTTTCTATTGTGTATTAAAACCATTTGCCTTCCTTCACTGCAGATGATTCTTGTTTTGATAAGAAATGCCCAGACTGCATGAAAAACATACAGTAGAAAGGCATACCTGTCTTTAATTTGCATTCTTGCTACCTACAATATTAGCTCCCACATCAGAAATTGTATTGGCACTGCAGTTTTGGAAAATAGCTTACAGGCAAACAATATCCCTTTAATTTCATCTACAAAGAAAAGAGCTGTTGTGGCTAGAAAAAGGGTGAAAGAGACAGAAAGATAGTGGTATGTTGGTCTCCCCTTTGTGTTCCATAATGACTTTGTTATAGGTAATTATAGGCCTGTTAGAAAATGGTAAATCAACCCACAATTTAGATTTGCATCCTAAGAGGAAGCCATGGGTTGACAATGTGGTAAGGGAAGGAGAATTTTTCTCTGCTGCAACTCCAACTCATGAAAAAAATATGTTACTAGAAGAAAACATGAACAAAACAAAGCTTTTGATGAAATCCAAGTTATCTCTTTGGTATCTAAAAAGGACTACTTTGGATTTTTGTTTATCTTGAATGTGTCTAGATCACAGGTGTCAGACTCACCACATCATATTGCTGTCATGTGATGTTTCACAACATTTTTCTCATTCGTGGAGCTGGGGTGGGCATGGCCTGCGCATGACGTATCCAACCCACAGACCTCCAGTTTGACACCCCTAGCCTAGATGTTCCACAGAAGTGAGTCAAACTTAGTAATTAAGCCCGTGGATTGATTTTAATTCTGGTCTGTCAGTGACAATATATAAATGAAAGATTGAATATATAACTCAAGCCAACCTAATTCTCATTCTGCTATATTCCTTGTTACACGCCATTTCAAAAGTGTGCTAAGTACTAATAAATTGCCCACATGCAAATGACTTACTAAAACAGTAGTCATAGATTCTCACAGCCCCAATGGACTGTCACCGAATGTTATCACTGGGCCTTCAGTAGACTTAACCTACATTTCACTACTCTAGAACAGAACATGGTTTTTCAAATACTAATAATAATACCCCCATCATTCAAGGTTGGTCAGCAAGCTTTATGAACTAAAGCAAATAATTCAATATTTTAAGGCCGTTTCAGTACAAGGCACTGAAACTGTTTATATAGTCAACAATCTTCTATCCCTGTCCCCTCCTTCTCATTTTTACATGGATTTATCCTGCCCTTTGACATCAGGTTTAGCAAGAGATGTATTTCTATCTTATAAAAAGGGATTTATTTTAAGATCTCCATTCAGGATTTATGTCACCTTAAAAGATTTAGTGCAACTGCAACATCAGGGGAAAATCTTTGGTGCAGAACAGAAGATGCATGGATAGATTGAGAACAATGATAGAATAGCTGGCATTAAAATGACGATATTTCCTAAAATCTCATTTTTATTTCAATCACTCCCAGTTCTATTGCCTTTCTCTTCATTTTGTATGAATAACTATTTATACATAATTATTTTAAAAAAGAATTAGGCAAACTTTACATTTTAAACAAAAGCATCGTGGTTATTTAGGAATATCAAATATGAAGATGGATGCCTTCCAACAAAGACAATTTCCTTCATTTAATTAGGAGGTCAAGTAATGCTAATAGATAGAAATTGAGTTACTGTTGCACTCCCTATTGATCAGGGAACTACTTTCCTTCTTTGAAAATAAGATATTTAAAGTTGTTCAACAGAAAACACGATAAAATAAGATTATTATAGAACTAGAAACTTATTCATAGATGAAAAACTATTAGTGAGTATATCCAATAAAAGAGAAGATATGTGATTTAGGATTGAAGTGTGGAGTTCTTGGTGTTCTCTGGACATTGTGGAGTCCTTTGTGTTCTCTGGCTTGCAGACATTTCATTACCCAACTAGGCAGGGGGTGGGTTCTACTTACCTTTACTACCGGTTCGCAACGGGGCCACGTGCACATGTGCAGAAGCATTCTGATGACATCAGGGTTGGTGGGCGGAGCCTCCCTTTGGTTTTATTACCGGTTCTATAGAACTGGTCCGAACTGGGGGCAATCCATCACTGCAACTAGGTAATATCAGTGCAAGTAAGTGTGTGGTTTGTTCTTTGTTTATATATGGTTATTTTTTGAGAGGGGTGTGGTTTTAGTATGGTGTTTAGTATGATAGGATGGTATTTGTGAATGTATTTTGGGAAAAATACTTTCAACTTAGTATTAAATAAGGTAAGATCAGTCAATACTTCACAAAACAACATTTGAAGGAAGGTTTCAATCTCTTTTATCTGAAAGCAAGGGATTCCCATTGGTGATACATAAAACATAGAATCCATGACAGGATTACTTGAAAATATAGGAAGATTCATTGAAATTTAATGCATTCACTGGCATTCCTTGTGTCAAAGGATTCCAAGTGGAAATGACTGTTTAAAAATGTTAGAATAAAATAAATAAGTCTAATTTATAGTGGCACTCCACCAAAAATGCAGATGGTGTTGCCAATGTTTGATAACAATTCCCAGTAGGCAGTCTTTTTGTTAACATTTTAGCAAATGTTTTGAATTTTTCTTTTTTTTTTTCTTTTTTTTTTTGGGGTATTTTTATTGTTAAAGAATAACAGAAAAAAGAAAAAAAAGACAATACAAAAATCAATAGTAAAAAAAAATTTTTTTTTCCCAATGTGCTATACAAATGGAAAGGAAGTTTTAGGAAATTAAAGTCTTCAATTCTTCCAGAAATCTCTTTGATAAGGTACTGGCGCCGATTCATCCAATCTCCCAAGTGCAAAGTCCAAGAAAGCATATCAGAACACATTTCCCATTCTTCCTCCTCTGGTCCTCTTGCATCTCAGAAGAGGCTGGTTGATAAGTAATCATGGAAGCAATACTTTTAGAGTGTTCTTGTATATATATATAAATCCAACTATTTGGAAATCAAATGTCTGACCCACTTCAGATTAGATAAACAGTGTAGGACTGATGAGCTGATTCAGCCAGAGTAAGTAGAAAAACTCATCTGGTAAGCAAAAACTGATATATTCATTTCAGGAGAGCTTAATCTGAGGAACATATTGTTCTTTTAAAACTGAATATGTTGGTTTTCTTGCAGAGCCTAAAAAATTTCTTTTAGGCAGGTAGAAATAGCAATAGCATACAGAAAAATATTGGTTGTCTTGCCTCCATCCCAAAAAGCATAAATATTTTTATGTATTTTTTTTATTTTTCTTGATTTATCTTTTTTATGCAATGTGTATTGCTGCATGTAATTCCTCGTTGGTGGGAAATGGATAGCAATAACTTGGCTTGTAAATAGAGATGCTAGCTTGTGGAGAATAGCGTGAGCATGCTTGAGGTAAATTGTTATTTAGTTTTGCCTGTGGCACACTGGTCAAAATGAAGCAATACTGACCAGTTCTGTTCTCACGCAACGAATGCTGCAGGTGACCCAGATATGTCTGATGCTTATAACCTAGTCAAGAATCAACTGTTCCTGTCAGGAAGTCTGTCAACATGAAAGTAGATGTATGTATGTATGTATCAGTGGTGGGTTTCAAAAATTTTTACTACCAGTTCTGTGGGCATGACTTGGTGGGCATGGCGAGGCTTGGTGGGCATGGCATACCTTGGTGGGTGTGGCAGGGGAAGGATACTGTAAAATCTCCATTCCCTCCCCAACCCAAGGGAAGGTTACTGCAAAATTCCCATTTCCTCCCAATCAGCTGGAACTTGGGAGGCAGAGAATAGATGGGGGCGGGGCCAGTCAGAATTTTTACTACCGGTTCTCCGAACTACTCAAGATTTCCGCTACCAGTTCTCCAGAACTGGTCAGAACCTGCTGAAACCCACCTCTGGTATGTCTGTATGTCTGTTATTTATTTATTTATTTATTTATTTATTTATTTATTTAATTAATTAATTAATTAATTAATTAATTAATTTTACCCTGCTTTTATTATTATAAATAACTCAAGGTGATAAGCATATTTAATACTCCTTCCTCCTCCTATTTTCTCCACAACAACCCTGCAAAGTGGGCAAAATTGAGAAAGAGTGACTGGCCCAAAGTTATTCAGCCAGTTTTCATGCCTAAGGCAGAACTAGAACTCACTCTCCCAGTTACTGGCCTGGTACTTTCACTACCAGACCAAATTGGCTCTCCATTGTCATAGTAATGTCATCTTGTTTGGCTGAGAACTCAAAATGATTTGCAGTGAATGTTAGAGGGAGTGTAAGAATGCAACAAGGAACCATTTTTAAGTGCAAGGAAAGTATCCCTGATAGAGAAATAACATGTACAATTGCATAGCAATTGCATAGCAATTGTTTGAGTGTTTTATAAAGGTGGGGAAATGGATGGAGAAATTTTAAGATGTACAAGTGCTGATTGTAAGAGAGTGAATAATTTGTTTTCTGTTGCAAAAAATGAATAGTTACCAACAGCAGTTAAAAATGACAGATTCTGATTCAATGTGATTCTTTCCACTTTATTGCTTGGTTGGTTATGTTAGAAAAAGGATAAGGTTTGCTGAATGGAACACGTCCACTAAGGAAAAAAGCTGGGGTAAAATGGGTGTTGAATCATGATTGTGGCTTGAGTACAAATGTTGGTCACTAAAAAGGAAAAGGATGTTGAGGTGCTTTGGATAAATAGAAAAAATAGTAAGGCTGAATTGCAGTGCAAATAAATGAGAAAAAAAGAGTTTGACAGAAAAGAGAAGTTTAAATTTCATCTTTTCTTGACTTACTGGGAAGTTTTTTGTCTCATTGTGATCTGGGGAGTTGGTCGGCATACAATTTAATATATAATTATTGATATTATTATTAAACAAAAGGAATCATATGAATAGCTATAAGGATATGCCAGAAGCAGAGATAGTTTGGATGAATACAAAGCTACAGAGAGATTCAGTGAACGATGTTGCTCTAAACGAAATTTAAATGTCCTTTCTTTTTTCTTACCTCTTAGATTTTACCATCTGTTTCTTATATTTTTGATATATTTTTGCATGATGTGGCATATTCCTAAAGAAAAAAAGATGATGGATAAGTATATATGTATGTAAACATCTTTTTATTTCATTTCAACAAAAAATATACAAAAAAGATAAAATAAAGTGGTGTGGTTTTCCAAGCTCTGAAGAAGAGATCCAATTAAAAGGTATGTCTACATTTTGGACAAGTCATAACAATGCATTACAATTTACAGCAAAACTGAAATTCTCTCTCTCTCTCTCCTCTCTCTCTCTCTCTCTCTCTCCCTCCCTCCCTCCCTCCCTCCCTTCCTCAACCACTGGAACTAATTGCACACAAATACCACTGAGTTCTGTGGGAGAGGTTAGTGGCCAATATTCTTTTCAGTGTTGCTAAATGAGTCAAAACTGTTTCCTATACGAAGGAGCATATGATTAAAAATATTTGAGAAGAACACATAACAACTCAGTACCTTTCATCTCCTTTTCAATTACCTGTACTTTTAAATCTATAATTTGTATTAAATAAAAAATGCCCTTTTAAAATAACCGTTCAAGGAAGCAGGATTTCAGTAAATAAATAGAATAGAATAGAATATATCTTCCCAGACCCTTATGAAAGTTCTGAAGAGAGTTCTGAAGTAGATAAGTATAATTAATAATTTCCAGTAAATCAATACATACTTAGTTCAAAACATTGTAACACATTTATCTGTTACAACTGTAAAATAGCACTATTTCTTTTCTAATCAATTGAAAAACTATCCAGCTATTAATAGCAAGTTATATCCCAATTTTGTAATCTAAAGTACTTATGTAAAGTGCATTACTGGTTTTCCACATTTGACTTTTTGAGACAGCATCTAGTCTATCAAAGACCTAAATTATGTAAAATCAAAAGAGTTGTATTGAAGCATTGTTCTACACCAGACTACTTCTCTTTGCCAGTCCATCATAAAACGGTTGGAAACTAATAACATTTCTGCACCCTTAAGACCTGGAAACCCTACATCAACCAATTGGTACCTACCTAACAGCCAGCCAATAGGACAGTGAAAAGCAGGTCATCCACTTAGTATCGCTCTTGAGCTATCTCAAGTCCAGAAGCAAAAAAAAATATCCCTACACATGCCACTACACATAAAAAGGAAATAATTTGCTACTTTTGCCTTCCCTTTGCCAATTCACCTTTTCAGCTCATGTTAAGCCCAGATGTTTCTCCCAGATATGTTAGCCCTGGAAAAACCAATCAGAATAATTTATATGAAGGGATGTTGTCTGCAAGGATGCTCTTCCCGAGTTGCATTTCAAAGCCTCTTGCAAGCTGTGTGGGTAAACTAATAGCACAGGAGCATTATTGCAATGGGGCACTTTTTAAATTAACTATTGCTGATTGTTGCTTTAGCTGCTGGAATGGGGTATGTGCAAGTTCTTTTTAAACAATGGCTATAAGCAGAGAAATAAGTATAATTAGCAATAGCTTACTGTATATACCGCTTCATGGTGCTTTATAGACCTTTTTAAGCATTTACAGAGTCAGCATATTGCCCCCAACAATCTAGGTCCTCATTTTACTGACCTTGGAAAGATAGAAGCCCTGAGTCAAGGCTTGAACCATTTGGAATCAAACTCTTGGAGCGAGCAGTGAGTTAGTTTACAGTACTGCATTCTAACCACTGCACCACCACGGCTCTCTTTAGCTCCCCAAACCAGCTGAAAATATGACATCCAGCAGCTATGAGCTCAGGGTGACCAAGATCTTGCCTTAGTTATCTTTAAAAGGGTATGTGTGTGTGTTGTCTTTGAGTCAGTGTAGACTCCTACTGATGGCATGGACAAGGTCCCTGCAGTTTTCTTGGCAAGATTTTGGAAGTGGTTTGACATTGCCTCCTTCTTCCTAGGGCTGAAAGAGAGTGACTAACCCAAGGTCATCCAGCTAGCTTTGCACCTAAGGAGGGACTAGAATTCACAGTCTCCTGGTTTCTAACCCAATGCATTAAGCACAGCTCCAAACTAGCTCTTACTGACGTTTATTTCATTTCATTTTCATTTTCATTTTATTTGATTTATATACCACCCTACTCCCGAAGGACACAGGGCGGTGAACAGCCACAGATAAAACACATAAATACAAAATTTAAAAGCAAAGTAAAACCAAATTAAACAATTTGGCCCAAGACAGATTTAAAACACCCCAATAATTTAAAACAGATTAAAATTTACATTTTAAAAAGGGAAAAAAGGGAAAAGATTAGGCCAGGCCAGCCTGATGGAATAAAAAGGTCTTAAGAGTGCGACGGAAGGTGCGCAGATCCGGGATCCTCCGTCTCTCCGGGGGGAGCTCATTCCAGATAGTAGATGCCCCCACAGACATCGACATTGTTTGGCTGACGGCACCTGGAGGAGCCCTCTCTATGAGAGCGTACCGGCCGGTGGGAGGCTATTGGTGGCAGCAGATGGTCCCATAGGTAACCAGGTCCTAAGCCATGGAGCGCTCTAAAGGTGGTAACCAAAACCTTGAAGCGCACCCGGAAGACCACCGGGAGCCAGTGCAGTTCAGGCAGGAGAGGTGTTACATGGGAACGCCATGTCGCTCCCATAACCACCCGCACGGCCGCACTCTGCGCCAGTTGGAGCCTCCGGGTGCTCAAGGGGAGCCCCATGTAGATGATTTACTTGAAGTCAAAGATTCTTATGTTAGCCATCTAACTTAAAAGTCATTGATCTGAAAGGATCAGAAATGTGAACATTTTTTCAATCAAAATTAAACCTCCCTATAGTTTGTTATGCTAAATTAATATAAGAAAAGCAGAGAAAATGTTTATTTAATCATTAAAAATTAAATAAATTATTACTATTTCAATAACAACAACTTTTTATTTAAGACTCCATATCAAAATATTTTAATATTAAAATATTCTTTAAAATATTTAAAATATTTTCCATTCTCTTTTACTACAGAGCAGTGTTCAGTGGAACCCACAAGAAAACAAAATATCCTGTATTTTGGCTACATTAATGAACAAAAGTCAGTGTTTGCTTTTGGGATTAATTGCCTGTTCTTCTATTTTTAAATTTATGTTGTTAATCTTTTTAATTGCTTCTTTAAATGTTTTTTTAAAGTTTTACTCAAGGCAGCTGATGTAAAAATAGAACCAAGAAGTAAAAGCAGATAGGAATGTCTTGAATAAGAAGAATAGTCTTGTTCTGCTGTACTGGAATAGCAATAGCACTTAGATTTATATATTGCTTCACAGTGCTTTTACAGCCCTCTCTAAGCAGTTTAAAGAGTCAGCCTATTGCCCCCAACAATCTGGGTCCTCATTTTACCGACCTCGGAAGGATGGAAGGCAGTGGTGGGATTCAGCCAGTTCGCACCACTTCGGGAGAACCGGTTGTTAACTTTCTGAGCAGTTTGATGAACTGCTTGTTGGAAGAAATCATTAGGGCAGAGAACCGGTTGTTAAATTATTTGAATCCCACCACTGATGGAAGGCTGAGTCAACTTTGAGCCTGGTGAGATTTGAACTGCCATATTGCAGTCAGCTGGCAGACAACAGAAGTAGTTTCAGTACTGCATTCTAACCACTGCGCCACCACGGCTCATAGCATGTAAACCTCAGAAAATAAAATACAAAATCATGAGTAAAACTGATGTGGTGAAACTAGTTTTGACACCTTCCTTTCCTGAGCAAAGGACGGCTAAAAGCTTACATTTTCCAAAAGCTATCAGTCAAGGAAAAGTATTGTCTAGCACATAGGTTTATAGAACAGAAAGAATGTGCCAGGAAAGTGATACTAAAGTTAGGAGTATGGCTTTTATAAGAAAGCATTCTTATGGCTAGTGCTTAAATGAAAGAAAGCGGATGACCCACGGATAGCCAAAAGTCAGAAAGAATCTAGTAATCACCTTTCGAGATTAACCGTTTTATTTAAGGAATAAGCTTTCATGAGCTCCAACTCACTTTCTCAAATGCGTGTGGTGAATGAAAAGTCTGAGGTACTTAAATCTATCCACAGCTAAGACTCTTTCATCCATTATAGGGAGAGAGCAGCTCATTTGAGAGCATGAAATGCACAGGTCAGTCAGAAAAGGGGGGGGGAAAAGACTCCACTGAGAGAAAAAGAAGTCATAAGAGGCTCAAAAATACCAGCCTAACCAATAGGAGACATTTATATCTAGACGATGCAAAGGAAGTCTTTTATACAAGGAAATGAGATAAAAATGCAGAATGCCTCTTCTACCTCTGAATGTGTTGCCGCTAATGACCAATAAGTTTATTGGTGCAGAAAGCCAAAATTGCTGCAAAATTGCATTCCAAGAAAAAGAATGTACAAAAGGAAACGTATTACAGGTTGGATTTAATTATTTTCTGTAGATGATGATGATGATGATGATGATGATGAGGAGGAGGAGGAGGAGGAGGAGGAGGAGGAGGAGGAGGAGGAGGAGGAGGAGGAAGAGGAAGTACACTGGGGAAACAGAAAAGTTGAAACTTGTTATTAGTCTTTTATGCACATACACATTCCCATCTCTTCATCCTCACCAGGGAGAGCATATTCAAATACAGTTTTCTACTTGAAGTCAAACTTAAAACAACCATTAGATTTTTTTAAAGCAGTTAGTCCCCTTTAACAATTTGAACAAAGCAGTTAAAAGACAAATCTACCATTGTTTGTCTTTTAACTGCTTTGTTCAAACTATTAGATTGTTTTAAAGAAAAATTTCCTCGCTCATTGTTTCTCCTAGTAATAGTCCAGATTCTGCAGCCCTAAAAGAAACTCACTATTTTTTTTTTCATATAAATCAGCCTAAAGATCCAAAATAAAATGGCTTGTTAACTCATCCTTCCCCAGTTTAAACATGATCCTTTCTGCATTAGTTAAATGGCACTACCAGTTTTACAACTATCTCAGAAAAGGGGAAAAAATATAATTATGCTGGTAGCCAGGATGGGTTTCTACTATGATACCCTAGTGTGGGATTTTCCTCTTTCAATTTTCCTATATAATTGTGAGACACCACTCTACAGATGGAGATAACTTGCCATC